TGAGAGTTGAAGATAACGTCTGGTTTCTTGATTTGCTAAAATTTCCCGCCAGAACTTCCCGCCACAACGACAATGTAAGTAAGCTTGGAGCTGTTCTTTTGAGGGATCTCTCGATTTCTGTGTATTTTTTTTTATTATTGTAAGAAAATTGGGAGACCTTCAAGGCTAAACAGTAGACATTTCACCTTCTGAAGAATTGCGCGAATCGGATTAGCATTGCGTTGAGACAGTCGGTATCTTTTGTGTTTCGAAACAAAAGGTCGCATCAGCGGAAGTGAGGCAGATAGGATTTCTATGGGTAGGAAAGCGGGAAAGAAAAAGAAAAGAAAGCATTGAAGGACGGAAATGAAAAAGGAGGGTTGAAAGAAAGAGAGTCAATGAGACAAAGTTATGGGAATCGTAGTAAGAATTGCAAAATAAAATTACAAAACTATGTTACGAAGGAAAGTAAAGACAGAGATAACAAAAGAGAAAATTTAGATAATTATACATCTATAAAAGAATAAAAATAACACTAGCAACAAAAACATCATCCTCATCAAAAACAGCAATATTAAAATCAATGACTTTGTGACGTAGGGTGGCTGTAAATAATTAAGTATAACTCAAGACTTCAATGTTAAAATAAAACAGTATTTAATTACAATCGCAAATAAATACTTAACAAGAACAAAAAAGTAAAAGTCAACCAAAGATAATTAACCATTTCAGTGAATTTAAGCAGACTCGGCTTAACGTCCGGTAATTCCTAAATCAAAACGCAAATCACCGACGCACAATAATTCACACTAATTCGACTAGATAGTTCCACTCAATAATCACTGCAGTCAGTAGCCTGACACCGCTATTTATACACCTGGCGGAAAACATACATTCATAAGTCCAGAGTGTCACGCTCGAACCCCCGTGTCGGTAGTTACTCTTCCTATATGACAAATAATAATAATAATAATCACCACAGAGAACTTGGTAACACGTTCCTCTTCTTGGATTACACGTTTTCCACTTACACGAAGTGGAGCGAGTATATCGAATCCATAGCTGCATACACACACACACATATAAACACACATACATACACACTTAAACACACACACATACACATACATACATGCATATACACGCACACACATACCAGGGCTATTGAATAATGTGCGCGTAATATCTACTTGCCCAATGAAAAGAGAGTATAGAATTCGAAATATCAAGTCTTCCACGAAATAAGTAAAATTTATAATGGTCAACTGGCTTTGTTTTTTTAAATTGTTACATTATATTTTTAATTGATTTTTTTAACCTTGTTTCGTTATCAATTTAATTGTTTTTAATTTTTTTTTTTTAATTTTTCTGTATCTTTTTTAATTGTTTTTTTTTTAATTTTGTTTTTTAATTAATCATTTTTTAAAAATTTTAATTGTTTTTCATTTAATCATTCTTTTTCGTTTAATCAACAATTTCCTATTGATACATTTTTAAAATCCTTTCACCGCAGGACATCATTTTAACACACAGATTTTTTTACGGGTATGATTGTTAAAAGTTGCCCATTCAATTGGTTGATCATTTATCGCGACTATTTCACAATCAACAGAATGTAAAATAAACCAAAAGGATTAATACCGAGATTTATTGACTGTTTCCCATCAGAGTATATAGCTGGTGAATTTCATTTACTTTTAACCATTTCATGCTAAACAAAGCAATAAAGCCACTCAGAGAAAAAGTGTGAGGTGGGGGGTCTATTGTGTGCAAATAAATATGAGATAGAGATTATGGAGACGTAACAACAGAACAGGAATTAAGAAAACAGAAAATAATGATTGACATTGCATTTCAATTTTGAAGATCAAACTTGACTGGGAAACAAGAAGCAGCCTGAGAGTTCCACAAGCGAGAAGAGCGATAGAACAATCTGCTAGCATAGAATTTAAAGTTGTCATTTTAACTGCAAAATGATGAGACCTTACGGCCAATCTAGTACTGCGTTTACATCTATAAAGTCTGGGCACCATAACGGAAAGATATTCATAGAAAATGCACAGAGAATATACGTTACGACGATGGGAACGTGAATGAAGCCGAGATACTCGATCAGGACCGATAATATTGCAGATTTTTCATTCGATTTTATTAAGAATCTCTGAATATATAGCAAAACCCCCAGACCAGATATTGCAGCAACATTCTTATAAATGTGTAAGAAAGAATTTCGTGCGAAAAATTGTTTAGCACGACACAGTGAACCAACTTTCCCAGCAGCAGACCTAGCAATTGATTCAATATAATCATTCCACTTCCTGTACATGCATACGAATACACACACGCATGTGTGTGTGTGTGTTTTGGGCTAGCGGTCGACAATACTTGTGTTATCTCAATTCTCTATCCGTGTATGAAATGTAGGCACATAAAGCAGCGATAAGGTTTCCTTACCTAGTATCCACCACTAAAGATACTGGGAAAAATGGTCGGTTAGTACGCTTCCTGCTATCATCTACTTTTACTAGAGCGGGATGAAGGCGAAAATAGAGTACTACTGCCATATATGGACAGGAGATGCCGAGTCTTCATTTACCAAAAGCATCTACGCAGATTTGTGGGTGATGAATTATTTTCCACCCTATAATGCCTTTCTCACAAACGTTGCAAGCTTCTCCCGATTCTTTCATTCCTACATTTCTCTAGTTCTCACCCTCACATTGAGGCGAACCACCTTCATTCCCTTCGTATTCCATTAGTAATATTTAAGTTCCACTTGGAACGCTTCTCGCGAACATCTATATTGTGGAATAGACGTCTAAAAGAATACTTTCACGATCACTACAAACAATGCCTGAGGATGACTGAATGTACAGTTGAAAGTACTCGCGTATTAAAAAAAGACCTTATACAGCTTATAATTATTAAAAACAATGATTATAACATTCATCGAGTGATTTGTAGGTTAATGCACCTTTAAAATTTTGTTTGCGAAGGGATTTCGCCATTTTATATCATTAACATTACTAATCTAGTCATTGTATGAATGATTCATTGTAATATAAATTGAATTGTACCACATATTTGATATATATATATATATATATATATATATATATACATATGTGTGTGTGTATGCATACTCGTCTGCTAGCTCGGATAGACATTTTCTGTTGCCAATACCTACTCTGGCATATTTGTGCTTGTTCAACAACTTTAGACCCCGCCGATGTTTATTACAGCAATTCAAATCTAGGGTAAACCGTCATCTTCTCACAATATCCTCATAATCTATCATCATAATCTATCTATCTATCTATCTATCTATCTATCTATCTATCTATCTCATTCTGTTTGAATCTATCTATTTATCTCCGTCCTTGGTATGACGGTAAACTACATCCGCGTCTTGGGTAAGACGATAAACTACATCCAACAGCAAAGCCCCTGATCAGGAAGTTTTGAGGAACGTGGAAACACCCCTTAATTGCTGATGTTCCCAGGTCCACCCTAACCTGGGGTGGTAGCACCTGATAGGGTCCCAGCTCTGGGCAAATAGTTGACACCCAAACTGGGGTCAAAACACTATGAAAGTGTAAAAATAGGTTTTAATACATACCAGAAATACTTTGTAAAAAAACTTATTACCAGAAATACATTTTTAGAAAAAGAAGATATTACCAACTATAGTTTATTTTGAATGAAAATATTACCAGCAATAAAATTTGTCGGCATTAAATAACCCATTGAGGTTGATATGCCGTAAAACAAACCAAAATCTATCTATCTATCTATCTATCTATCTATCTATCTATCTATCTACTTTTTCTGTGTAAATCTATTTAACTTTAAAACTATCTCATTCGGTTTAAATCTATCTATCTATCTATCTATCTATCTATCTATCTATCTATCTACTTTTTCTGTTTAAATCTATCTATCTTTCTAACTATCCCATTCGGTTTAAATCTATCTTTCTAACTATCTCATTTGGTTTAAATCTATCTATCTATCTATCTATCTATCTATCTATCTATCTATCTATCTATGTTTAATTTTCTTCCATTAAATGCTCCACTGAGAATCAAAAATGGCTCTGACCAACTAAGCTGAAATTGCAAAATGGCGGATAATTTTCCATTACTCATCCGAATAAAGATGAAGCGTTAAGAAAAGAAGAAATCAAGTGAGATTTAAATCAAATTTTCCCCCTCCTCTCGCCAAGCACATTATTGTCTTGCGTATTTAATAAGGAAGTTGGATTTCGTATTTTTTCCGGTTTGATATTAAGTTTACTTTTACATACAAAATCAAGCATATGGGAGGCTTGACTGATAATTTCTCCCGTCTTATAAAACAAGTTTCAAACTTATACAACAATGAAAGTAGTATGAAAATGAAGTCAAATTATTTGGCTCCAAAATTACCAGGTTTCCTTGATAAGTATGATTTCCAATGCTATAAAACAACGTTATACCACATAGAATAATGAAAATGGTATCAAAATTGAGTGAATTGATTCACCTTAAAAAAATCTGTCGGCTACTTGATAAGTAATGTCTTCAATTTTATAAAACAATTTTTAGTCGGATAGAATAATGAAACTGGTATCAAAATGAAGTCAATTTATTTCCTGAAAAAAAAAAAAAAGTGCGTGCGATACTTGAACTCTAATTCTATAAAACACCCTTTAGGCCAGACAGAATAATGAAACTATTATTACAATGAACTCGATTTATCTTCCAAATTACCCCGATAGTTTTATAAGTATGTTCTCGAAGCTTGTAAAATATATATGTATATATAAATAAATTTATTTCTCGTTTTAACTGTATAAGTGTTGTGGCCTGTTTAGGGGTCAGAAAGAAAGACACGGAAGACGAAGGTAGGTTGAACAAGTGTATTGAAATAACAGATATATATACAAAGCAAGAGTGTTAGTAAAAAGCAGAAGTGTACGTCCGAAAGGTCAGGTTACACTGCGTCTCGGCGATATTTAAAAGCCTCCTCCCCACCACCACAAGGAATGTATGTGGTACAAGGCCGAGTTTAACGTGGGTTTCTCCGAGCCCGTAGGCTTGGCCAAAAATATTCCCTTAGAATCCGCATGAGCGGGTTCGGGATCTGTCTACCTCCACGGACGAAACTTTGCCCTTCGGCAAAGCCTCACCCGGGTTCCTCTCTGCCAAAGCAGAGAGTTCGACAGAAGTCGCACACAGTCAGAGACTGCGTCTCGGCTATATTTAACAGCCCCCACACGAGGCTTGTATGTGGCACAAGGCCGACTTTACCGTGGGTTCTCCGAGCCCGTAGGCTTGCCCAAAAATATTCCCTTAGATCCCGTATAAACGGGTTCAGGGTCTGTCTACTTCTCCGCACGAAACTCTGCCCTTCGGCAAAGCTTCGCCCGCGTTCCTCTCTGCCAAAGCAGAGAGTTCGACAGAAGTCGCATACAGTCAGAGACTGCCTCTCGGCTGCTCACACACTCACACACGTTGGTATTTATGAAAGGAGCAAGAGTTCATTCTACTGTAGGTGAGTTACTACAACAATAAGGTAATATTAATTTGTTTTTTACAGCTTATCAACCTTTTTTTAGGTTATTTAAAGTCGAAACATATTTTTGAACTGTAAGAATAATTCTTTTTTTATGAGTGAATATTGCATTAACAACCCTTCGAGATGATGTAATGAATAGGCATACACCAGGGTTCCCCCTCACAGTAATATGATTGGCTGGTGTCAGCCATAAATACAGACTGATGTGGAGGTACATGGACGACGCCTATTGGCTACGCCTATTGCCTACCACTACGACAAGGACCAGTCCATTATGGTTACCTGCTAGATTGTCCTACCTGGTTACAGTAGTCAACAACCACTTTGCTACTTCGAACAAATATATCCCTTTCCGGGAATACCAGAAAATAATAATGATTTTTAGATAGACGTCCTACTGTTTACCCCACTGCTGGAGGAGAAGAGGTGAATTTACAACTTTTCGAAGGCCATTTGTGTGCATGTCAATTTAAAGAATCCGGCTGGAATTCGAACTCGACTGAACGATTTCTAATTTCGAGCCATTATCTATTACACCACTCACACATCCAATCTTACAGCACCTTGTATTCTCTGACGGTCACCCATCTAAGTACTGACCTGGCTTGAACTTGCTTAATAAGTATATATAAGGATCTTGGAATTAAATTCAGAAAAATTAGCACTTTAATAAATACTGTCATTATGTTATAATAGCTAAAGTCCAGGGTACGATAAACAAAAAAGATACAGACAACAACATTAATAAAATTGCTGGCAGATCGTGTATGCAAGAGATTCCAAAACTAGACAGTGTGGAATCGCTCCTCTAAAGAAACTATATTTGCTACAATATTCTCAATGTGTTCTGACGTTTATTATTATTATTATTATTGAGAGAACGGTAGCCCACAAACTGACACTCGAGAGAAATTTACAAACTCGAGGATAGTGTTTGAATAGTAAATATTTACGGGCTCCTGGAAAATCTATCCCGTAAACAATATTGGCGGACTCATGTGAGTCCAGGTAAAAATGACCAACACAAAACAATAAATATAAAGAAAGAAACATTAGGGAGCGAAAAAAATAAAAGTCTAGTCAAGACAGCAGATAGAGATTGACATTGCATTTAAAATTTTGAACATCAATGTTGGCTGGAAAATTTAGATGCAATGTCAATCGTCATCTGTTGTCTTGACTAGATTTCTATTCACCTTGCATCATAAAACTTCTTTTTGGGGTTTAAAGGCCAACGACGTAGAAAGAGCATGAAACCCAATAAATATAAAAACGTCAACATTCCATTAAAAAAATAAAGAAGTAAGAAAAGGCGGTAATAAGTGTTGTAGAAGACCTAATATGAGATTGAGGTGACTCATTTACGTATGAAGTCACAGAGACTATAAATAGCTACTGCTATTACCCATGAGGTAGTTGAGTGCGTACTACTTCACGTTAGTCATTAACACTACACTACAGTGCCTTCACCGATATCTAAGAACTGAACAAACAATTATCACTAGGCACAAGCGTGACTTAGGATACAAAAATGCTGAAGTATTTGAAATCAATTGGAGGAGAAAAACAAATAACCGATCATTGGGTGGCAACTGTTGCTTCTGAGACCATTATAAAAAATATCAGCAACTGTACACCTAAGAGAGAGGAAATGATTTTGACGATATAAGTCAACTAATAGTGAAAAACGTAACAACCAAGAAAAAATAGTGAATGCAGAGAAGGCTAAATTCATGAATATTTCTCAGAAAGTAAATGAACCAGTTATTGAATGTTCTTTGTTTAAAGCAGTCCGCTAAATATTGTGAATTTGAGAAACTTGGATCGCAAAACAAGTCAATCTAAGAGGATTTGATCAAATTGAAATCGGTAAACGGCCTTCAAAATGAGAATTATCGGCAAATGACTCTAATGCATTTACAATTGGGAAAGTTGTCACTAGAACAGTGTGTAGAATTTCTTCAGCAACAAGAATTAATTCGAAAATTTAATAGAACAAAAGTTACGGATTTCGTAGAGAAAATGGACACATACATGATAAAGAAAAAAGATTTAATAATGTCTATTTTTGTGGTTATCAACATCAATGTAAAAACAAAAATATCCTGCAATAGAAAATATGTGAGAAGTGTTTCAAAATGAAACATTTTAAACGCATGTGTAAATCCAAAAAGATAAACGTAGAGACGGTCCAACAATATGAAGAGGAAATAAGGATGTACGTCTTTTCATTGGAAACGAAAAAAAAAAAAAGTGTTATTAAAAACTCGAATCAATAGTGTTTTATTGGACATGTATCTAGTGACGTGACGTTGATACACAGACATTTCTAGAATAAATTAGGAAAACTAAGATTAAACAAAAGCCATATCAGTTCGACGGATCTATGATAAAAACGTTAGGACATTTTGAAGCCGACAAAGAACTAAATAATAACTTTGACGTATTACCAATTATCGTGGAAAATTGTGAAATGAAGCATGTTCTAAGAGGAAATCATATATTGAATATAAATTCGACAAAATTAGTAAAGAAAGGCAGAGGAGGATTGAATGTTAAAAATCTATGAAAATATGAAAAAAAGTGAAGATAAAAGGAAAATGTCTTCCTCTAATATTTTCAAGCATGAAAAGTGCCAGTCCATCACAGAGAATCCGACTGGAATTCGAACTCGACTGAACGATTTTTCATTTCGAGCCATTATCTACTTTACCACCCGAACATCCAATCTTACAGCACCTTATATTCTCCGACGGTCGCCATCTAGGTACTGACCAAGCTTGACCTTGCTTAATAAGTAAATATAAGGATCTTTAAGTAAATATATAAGTAAATATAAGGATTTTAAAAATATATGAAAAACATAACACGCAAGAAAAAATAGTGAATGCAGAGAAGGCTAAGGTCATAAATATTTCTAAGAAAGTAAATGAGTCAGTTATTGAATGTTCATCGTTTAAAACAGGCCGGTAAATATTGTGAATTTGAAAAACTTGGATCGAAAAACAAGTCAAGTTTATCGTGTAAAATTGTGAAATGAAGCATGGTCTAAGAGGAAATGATATATTGAATATAAATTCGACAAAATGTTCTTTTCGGATTTACACATGTGTTTAAAATGTTTCCTTTTGAAACACTTCCCACATCTTTTTTATATGCAGGACATTTTTGTTTTTGCTGTGATGTTGATAACCACAAAAAGTAGACATTATTATATCTTTTTTCTTTATCATGTATGTCTCCATTTTCTCTACGAGATCCGTAACTTTTTTAGATA